TAGTTAGTTAGTTATTGGAGAGGGTGGGTTTTCCCATGCACTTAAACCTGTCTTGGTCCATTGTGCTTCCCTCTATGATATTCTACCAGTCTCTATATCCAACCGGTACTGGTGCTTACCATCAGTCCCGCCCAGCCAGCGAGATCGGCCTCTACACGCTGAGTGGTATCTATAATGCTTCCCCCATCTACCAGAGGTATTAGAGACTACTGTTGGGCGGGAAACGTCCGTAATTTTGCTCAGTGGTCTCCTTTGGAGACATGAGGTTCTTTTACGTGCCGTAAAGCTACGACACGGGACCCACGGCTTAAAGTCCCTCCCGGAGGACTTGTTCCCTGAATTTTTCCGCCCTTAAAAATTCGACGACCTCCGCCGGGTATTTGAACCCGCGTACTACGAGTCATGAGGTGGGAACGTTACCTCTAGACTACAGAGACCGCTAGAGAAGTGAGTAACTGCCACCTTTGTGCCCAAGATATGTAATGTAAGCTAGATTAGACTGGCCCAAAGTGTTCATAATCACCATGCCACAAAGCTTTGTATAGGGCATGGAAATAAACTTAGTGTATTCTGGATCTCAGCAATGAAATGGAGATGATTGGTCAGCTTTACATTCCCGTTACTAGGGAAAAGGTCTCTTATTATTACTTGGATATAAGGCTAAGTGGATTCCTGAGCTGGTATGAACACAGTGGTGAAGAGAAAGATCCCTACCTCTGTCAGGAGGAAGTTTGGTCATCCAGCTATCGAAGAGAGTAACTTAATGTTCATAAAAGACAAATGGGCAAGTAATTGGTAGCTGTATAAACCTAAATTTATTTTCCTTACTTCTATGTGTTACTATATCCTCCTATGCATCAATGCTAACTCGTAGATTTAAATATGAATACTTTGCAAAAGAACTGTTATGTTTGTAATATAACAACTGCCATTCTGTCCTCTGAACTTTTACACTGTTAACAACGAATTATAGAACCCTAACCTAGCCAACCCACTGCATGGAACAGAACCATTTGTGATAAACAGCCATGCACATGGTCAGGAGATCTATAGCCTCTTGTGATGTTTAGAGATTTATTACCCTGCATACAAGGGCCTGCCACTGGACAGTATCATGAACCAACTGAATTCAACTGAATTCTTCATTATCCATTCTAATATTATCCCCTCACACTTGTTTAGATCTCTGAGGCAGTCAGTTCCATTTAGGTTTTCTGACTAAAATTGTATATGCATTACATATCCCTATATATTCTACATATCTTGCTTGTCTTATCCTTGTTCATTTCATCACTAATGTAATATCTGGTGAAAAATACACTTTTGTGAGCATGAATTTCACATAATTTAATTTTACTAAATTGATGTTCTCAATTATTTCTTTTGCCTTCTATGGTATTGCATAAAACATGCTGGGTGTATTTGTACTTGCAGGGTGCATCAATACTCTATATGCTGGAAAAGTTCCTTCATCAAGAGACCTTGTGCAGTGGCCTCAATGATTACCTCAATATACACAAATATGGCAATGCAGAAACAAAGGACCTCTGGAATGTCCTTAGCAAGCATGCAAATCAATCACTGGATGTTAAGGTACAAGTCAATCATGAAATTTTTGATAAGAAAACTATCATACTTACCCACATCCATTATACTACGAGGGTGAGTCAAATGAAAACCTTAAATTTGTAATAAAAAATTGAAATTTCGCGCCATTATCCTGTAAGTTGGTAAGAGTGCTACAAACAGCTTGCAGAATGGCCTATAGGTTGCAGCATAGTGCAGATGCACGAACACCGTCACAGCACCAGTATAAGATGGCTGTCCCACTTGAGACTTGCACCAGGGAAGAACAGCATTCTGTTATTCGGTTTTTGTGTAGTGGAGATGTGAAACCTATTGAAATTTATCGAAGAATGAAGTTTCAGTATGGTGATGCATGTTTGTCACAGCAGCAAGTGTATGAATGGAGTAGGAAGTTTGCAAATGGTGTGACTTCAGTCGAAGATGCTCCTCGTCCGGGTCAGGCACATCGAGTTGTGACTCCAGAGAACACTGCAGCAGTTGAAGCCATAGTGAGGGAAAACCACCGAGTGACATTGAATGAAATTGCAGCAAGTTTAAACATTAGTCATGGTTCAGCACACCACATTGTGCATGATGTGCTCCAGTTTCACAAAGTGTCTGCAAGATTGGTGCCACGGCAGCTGACTCCTGAATTGAAAGACCGATGTATTGATGCTTGTGAAGAACTGCGGCGCTTTGAACGAGGTGATGACTTCCTTGCAAGAATCGTTACTGGTGACAAAACCTGGGTTCACTTCCACAAACCGGAAACGAAGAGAGCGAGCAAGGAATAGTGCCATTCCTCATCTCCAAAACCGAAGAAGTTTCAAACACAACCATCAGCAGGGAAGGTTATGATGACTCTCTTTTGGGATGAAAAAGGCGTCATCTTGGAGCACTACACACCTAGAGGGACCACTGTCACCAGTGCATCATACTCAGATCTTCTAAAAAATCATCTTCGGCCTGCAATCAAATCAAAGGGACATGGATTGCTGTGCACAGGTATCCTTTTGCAACATGACAATGCAAGGCCCCATACTGCCCGTACAACAGTTGAGACAATCAATGACCTGCATTTTGAGTGTCTTCCTCATCCGGCATACTCACCAGACCTTGCACAAAGTGCTTTCCATATGTTTGGACCACTCAAAGAAGTAATGGGAGGAAAGACGTTCCGTTCTGATGAAGAGGTACGCCATGTGGTGCATGAGTGGTTGCGCGGACTACCAAAAGAATTTTTTTCTAAAGGAATTCATGCACTTTGTAAGTGCTGGAGGACTTGCATTGAGTGTGGAGGAGATTATGTTGAAAAGTGATACAGCTTTGTACCACTTGTGCACAATAAATAATACTCAAAAAAATATTTAAGGTTTTCATTTGACTCGCCTATGTATATCATATAAAATGTACAGTACTGAAATTTCATATGCATTTCTCAGCTCCTCATGCATACCACATCTCATTGTTACTGATTTGGTGGCTCACATTATATTTGATGAAGGGTGAATTATGAAGCTGATTCTGATGCCATTTTTTCTGTCTTCCTCTTATTTGTAGGGCTGTAGATCTTCAAAGAAATATGAGTATATATACATATAATGAAATTTCTACTACATTAAGTTTTATGCATATCAAAATGATGACTTCGCAGAATCCATATTTATTCATCATTTAAGAGCAATGTCTAATGAACAATTGTAGCTGTGTATGTGAAATTTGGATGGTTATAGATCATACTAACAGCTACAGATTTTCTTTCAACATTCTATTTGTGCATGTGTGCATAACCCTGAAACTGGCTATCTTACCAAGTTTTTCATGATTGTCTTCAGTCTCTGCAGGAAATACAGGAATAGTTGCTCAAATTGGATCACAGCTGTAGCTTTCCACATCTGTTTCAATTCAATATTCAGTAATCATTCTATAATCAGTAATCATTCTATAATCTTATGCCTAACAATTAGATCTATTGAAACTGTTGTTATATAAAAATTAATAAAATAAGTATGCAGTGTATTTTAGTTAAAATAAAGTAAATTGTCCATGTTCTCTACATATTGCCCCCTTTCCACAAAGTATTTTTTTATTATGCAGAGTTAAGATTTTTTTCTTGGCACTACAGCCCCAGTGGGCCTAGGCCTCCCTCCATGAACTGCTCCATTCACTTCGGTTTTTCTCGATCTTACACATTCGGTAGGACTCCTTGGGAAGGTGATCAGCTCATCACAAGGCCTCTATCTGTAGTACACAAACCCAGAAAAACGCACACATACAAACTAAACATCCATGCCCTGAGTGGGATTCGAACCCGCGAGCAAAGACAGTACATGCCTTAGACTGCTCGGCTACCATGACCGGCACATAGTTAAGATTACAGTTTATTAATTCCAGATAATGTCCCCATACCTTCAGTTTACACCTGTTCTCTTTGATATGTGCTAGTGCCTTAGGATATTTGTAAGGAATCTCTGTAATGAAAGAAAGTGAATACACTGTGCTAAAAGCAGAAAAGCTTACAAGCTACACACCACCGCTTATTTTCTTAACTTACATATACAATGTCCCTGGTCACTTGTCAACAGTAAGAGTGAACTGACTTTTCCTTCTTAAATGGTTTGTAGAGATTTTGCATATTTCAGGCTATAATGGACACTTGGACAAGACAAATGGGCTTTCCACTGATAATAGTATCAAGAGAAGGAAGTACAATTACTGCAAGACAGAAGAGATTTATTTTGACAGTTAACATGAAGAATGAAACAGAACATATGAATGAGTCCATCTCTCCTTTTGGTTACAAGTGGTATGTTCCATTGAGTTACTACACTAATCAACATACAGGAAAAGTCCATCACATCTGGATGAATATGAGTGATGGTAAGATTGTTAGTAAAATTGATTTATTTTTTTCTGTAACTTTTGGAATCATGTAGAAACCCATAAACTAAATACAGGTATCTTCCAAAATATGCAGTAGTTATGTTCCCAAAAGTGGTTGCATAATTCAAAATAACTCCTTTTATTCCATTGCCTGTAATTTTCACTCAAAACTATCAATATTAAATGTAATATATAATGATTAATACCATTCATTTCATCCATTTAGAAACCACAATTTTCTCATTTTGGATTTTATATTTCAGTTTCATTAGCTTTAGTGTTCATTAAGAAAATTAAGTAGTAAAAGTTGGATGAAATCACATAGCACAAAATTCTTATAAGTTCAGTTTGTGGAAGTTTGGAGATACCTATAACCAGACCGATTGTTTAAAAAAATGTATATATATTGTCTAACATAGGATGGTTAATGACCAGTGAGTAATAAAGGATATGGAAGGAAACAGCGATGGCTTACTTTAAGGTGCTATCCCAGCATTTGCGTGGAGGGACTGAGGAAAACCACAAAAATCATGAGTCTGTATAGTTGGTGTTCTAGCCAAGAAAGAACCAAGCACCTCTTGATTACATCTGAGAAATGTTACGCCTTTAGCCAGCTTGTGTGGTACTTAATGTGTTTGTAAAGATGTCATATGGAAAGCTAGTTTTTAATTGTATTTCATTTTGGTTTAGATTGGGTTTTTAAAATTTACCTTAGATAAGAGCATAAATGGAATTTTTCTTGAATTTCATTGAGTATATCCCAAATCTATATAAATAAAAATGTAAATGTTCGTTTGTTCAAAATCTTAAATCCCCAAAAGTTCTTCACTGATTGGTTTGAAATTTTGACAAAACGTTGCATTCGAATATGTGCGTGTTTTTATATACCTATTATATAGATGTCACACCTGTGACAGGTAAAAACATGCTTCTTTTGGAAAACAGCGCCATCTGTTGGACATGAAAGCAACACATGCTATACTAAATATTTTACAATTCCATTTCACTGTTTTCGATTGCATTGTTAAATTGGATTTTCATAGATTTCGATTTATTTTCATTTTGATTTAATTATTTCGTTTGACATTGCGTTGGAATTGAGCTGTGTCGTTTACCATAGCATTCATTTCATGAGTATAGTTTATTTTTTTCTTCTTTCATTGTTTTTCATTTCGTTTTCTTAACTGTTTTCCTTATTTTTCAGTGCAATTGGCGGTGGAATTGAGCTGTGTCGATTGATCTGCTTTTGAATTGAAATATTTTGTTAGTATTTTTTCTTCTTCTTTGTTTTCCAGTTCTTGTTCTTTCCTTTTTTAATGTTTTGCAATTTTATATGTTTTTGTTATAACTTTCTTTCTTCTTCAGTGCAATTGATCTGCTTAGTTCAAATAATGCCTCGCAGAAGATCAAACTTAGGTTGTCATACTCACAGAGCAGAAGCAGTGCGACGAGTAATTGCAAATCAAACTGGGGAAGAATGGGCATTAGCGAACGAGAGAAACAGGCAATGAATGGCTCAAATACGTGCCGAGGAAGCAGCAGAGCGACGTGCAGCCAGACTTGAGGATGCACGGTTGCGAGCAATAACAGAGTTGCAGAAATCTTCTTCTTAGATGCACCAGGAGGAACTGGTAAAACGTTCCTAATTAGATTCTGGCAGCAATTCAATCCCAAAATGACATAGCCTTAGCTCTTGCGTTGTCCAGAACAGCTGCAACATTGCTACCAGGTGGAAGAACTGCTCATTCCACTTTGAAATTGCCATTGAACATGCAATTCATTGAAACTCCCACGTGCAACATTTCCAAAGCATCAGGCATGGGAAAGGTATTGCAGAAATGCAAACTTATTGTTTGGGATGAATGCACAGTGGCGCACAAAAAATTGCTTGAGGCTCTTCAACGATCATTGCAAGATTTGCATGGAAACATCAGACCATTTGGGAACGCATTAATATTGATTGCAGGAGATTTCAGGCAAACATTACCTGTAATTCTTCGATCGACGCCAGCGGACGAAATACTCTACTTTGTGGCGACACGTAAAGACATTAAAATTAACTACAAATATGCGTGTCCAGCTGCAAAACGATCGATCAGCTGAGATATTCTCACATCAATTGCTGGACATTGGGAATGGAAAGGTGCTGGTTGATCTGATCTCAGGACGAATTTCATTGCCTCATAACTTCTGCAATTTAGTGACGTCAGAAGAAGAATTGGTTGAAAAAGTATTTCCCAATATTCAAACCAATTATTAGAATCACGATTGGCTGAGTGAACAGCTGTTCTTGCAGCCAAGAACAAAGACGTCTACTGACTGCGAGGCAGTCATATACAAGTCCGTCGACACTGTTGTGGAAGCAGATGAAGCGGTTAATTATCCAACAGAATTTTTTAATTCACTTGATCTGCCAGGGATGCCACTGCACATACTGCAATTGAAAATAAGCATGCCAATTATCATGTTGCGAAATATCAACCAGCCAAAGCTTTGCAATGGCACGTGGCTTGCAGTAAAAAAAAATATTGAGCAACATCGTAGAAGCAACAATCTTGACAGGACCTTTCAAAGGTGAAGATGTCCTCATTCCTCGCATTCCTATGATTCCAACGGATGTGCCATTTCAATTTAAGAGATTGCAATTCCCAATTCGATTGGCGTTTGCAATCACCATCAACAAAGCTCAGGGCCAATCTTTAGAATTGTGCTGTTTAGATCTAGGTATGGATTGCTTCTCACATGGACAATTGTATGTTGCGTGTTCTAGAGTCGGCAAACCAGACAATCTCTATATCTGCACAGACAATGGAACAACAAAAACTATTGTATACCCACAAGCATTGTGAAATTAAACATATTAGAAACGTGCGCTTTCTCTTTTCTTTCTTTTCCATTTAACCAGACAGAGCCACAGCAACGCGTGGCTGGGTACAGCTAGTTCATAAATATTTTCAGTTAGAAGCTGGTGTTACTGAAGTATACATATTATCTTTTCAGTCATTTTTCATCCTAATTAAGGACATAAATACATTTTTGATCATGTATCATTAAGTATAAATAATGTCTTCAAAGCATTGCAGGTATCTACAAGCTGCCTATGCTGTGTCTTATGCAATATATACATTGAACTTGGTGATTTAAAAAAATCACTAATGTAATATCTAAGAGAGAGAGAGAGTCAGTAAATAAGTCACAAATTGAAGTAAAACAGCTGTAATGGACATGATAAGTTTTCTGTGTATCACTAGATAGCAATGTAGTCTAGCTTCATGACAGTCTAGGGAGTAGACATGCATGCACATGTTCAGAGGCTGGTTTAGGTAGTCATAATGGTGACCCATGCTTTGGGAGTGTGCTACCAAAGAGCAGAATTCTGTTCTATTTTTCTGTGGGCAAAGGGACTCAGTGCAAAGGATACTCACAAAGAAAAGTTTCCTGTTTATGGTGGGAAGTGTTTGTCATGTAAAGTGGTTCACAACTGGGTCAAGAAATTCCCTCAAGGACGTTCGAAAGTTGCAAATGATGTCTGACCAGGTCGCCCTGGGAAGATTGTGACAGAAGCAACTGTGCAGTGAATGGAAGAGTTGATTCGAGCTGACATGCGGATAATGATAGACAGTGTAGCAACTGCACTAGGATGTTCCCATGGTTTAGCATACAGCATAATCCATGATCATTTGAAGTTTCAGAAAGTGTGCTCCCAGTGGGTGTCCAGAGAACTGAACGATTGAGAAAAAATGAACTACGACATCTTCTACGGTATGCAGATAGAGAAGATATGCTTAACTGGGTTGTTACTGGGGACAAATCATGGGTGCATCACTGCCAACCTGAATTGAAGTGTGCTTCATTGCAATGGGAACTTCTCAGTTCACCTTCAGTCAAAAAGTTTAAGGTTACTGTGCACTGGGATTCTCAGGGAGTACTGTTAACCCATTTGCAGAAGTGTGGTGAAAATGTGAATTCTGCATTGTACAGTGAAGTTCTGTTGAAGCTTCAGGTTGCAGTTTGCAGAAAATATCCAGGCCAACTGGCAAGAGGGATGCTGCTACATCATGACTATGTCAGACCCCATACAGCCTGAGTAATCTGGAAGCATATTCAAGAACTACAGTGGAAACTTCTTGAATATTCACCTTAAAGTCCGAATTTGTCCACTAGTGAATCATATGTGTTTGATCTGTTAAAAAAACCACCTTGGTGCCCAGTGTTTCGCTGATGACAAAGAGGTTGAAACGGGTGTCAAAAGACTTCAGTGGTGTGGGTTTCGACACACTGGTAAAGCAGTGGGACAAGTGTACCAGTGTTGGTGGAGGATATATCAAGAAAAATAGTTCTTCCAGGTTCGAATATTACATGTTTTATATTGTATATTCATTTGTGACCTGTTTACTGGCTGTCCCTCGTATTAAGTGCCTACCATCAAAAGTGTTGCCCAAGTTGTTTCTGTTGCTCTACTTCAGTGAAATCCTGATTACGTGTACCCATGTTTAGTGAAATTTCGTATTTAGTGAATATTCTTGTGGTCCTAGCCAGTATCCAGTATAAACAATGTATAATTTTCCTCTATTAACTGTATTTCATTTCCAGAACTCAAAACCCAATAGTCATGGGTTGATTCCCGATTATATCATAGGGTTTTTTAAATGACCTAATCCTTTCAGTCGCACTGTGGCCCTGGGGTTGACTCAGCCTGTAACAGAAATGAGGACCAGGAATCTTCCTGGGAATAAAGGGCGGCTGGCATGTAAGGCTGACAACCTTACTGCCATCTGTAAGTTGATTGTCTAGGAAATGTGGGACCCTCTACATCTCACAACTGTATGGACCTCTATGGCCTGTTACAGGGATAGCTTTACCTTTTTTCATGCCTCAATTGAGTGTGATTACGGTCAAAAGAACCACCAGTATTCATGTTCTCTCTGCCTGAAAGCACCCCTACACAACCACTATGTTTATTTCATATATTGTTGCTTTAGAATGTAATTTGATAATTGCTGATTGTATGATTTCTTATTTGTAGAAATTTGTTACATATTTATGTAAAAAGTGTTATTTTATAATAATTATATACAGTAAGTTTTCCAAAAATATAAGCACTTTCTTGGTATAATTTTGCTGTTTTATGGAAACCTTGATTTAATGTAAGAAATTCCACTTCCCTAGAAATACTTGAAATAAAGATTTCACTATATCTCATGTTTGCCCACTAAATTTAACATGCATTTAATTTGTCTAGCAGTAAAAATGAACTACACCTTTCTGATGGCAAGCCAATTGTATGTTTGACATATTCTTTTTTAATTTAGTCGCGAAAAAATAATTATATATATTTCTCTTGCAGTAAAATTTGACATTCCAGCTGACACAACATGGATCAAAGTGAATGTGAACCAGTCTGGATTTTATCGGGTAACATACAGCAATGACATGTGGCAGTCCATCATATCAGCCTTACAGCATAATCATACAGACTTCAGTCCAGCAGACAGAGCAGGTCTTATAGATGATGCATTCACACTCTGCAGGTATGTGATCACTCTGACAATAAAAGCAATTAAAAACAGGTACTGCTGGGTGATTTGGCTGAAGTAGTAATACTTCTGACTTTTATTTTTGAGGTCCCATTTTGAACCTTGATTAGGATACTAACTAACCTGAGATTTTTTGTGGTTTTTCTCAGCCCCTCCAGGCAAATTCTGGAATGATACCTTAAATTAGGCTACAACCTCTTTCTCCCACATCTTTCCAGTACCTTATTCACTGTTATCCGGCCACTCAGCGTTATATAGTCTGTGTTACAGATGGTGTCATTAAATAAACTGTGTTTTGTTTTCTCCTTTTCCTCTTTTGTTTATGTTATTTTCATGAGGAGCCAGGATAGCATAGTCGGTATAGCGCCTGGCTATGGCCTGGATGACCAAGGGGTTGGAATTGAGTCCTGGCAGGGTCAAGAATTATCTCTTCTTCACATTGTCCACATCTGTTCTGGGGATCCATCCAACCCTCTATTCAATGGGTACCAGGGAATTTTCCCTGGGGTTAAAGCGGCCCAGGCGTGAAGCTGACAACTCGCCTCCAGCTAGTGCCGAGGTCAAGGAAATGTGGATCTATATATCCACTCCCAGATATGCCTTCATGGTGTAGTGCTTAATTAATTAAGCACAGGAACAACTTTACTTTTTCTTTATTTTTGTGATTTTTCTAGAATATTTTTGCACATCTCATTCAATATATAATGATTTATTTCTTGAATATCCCTTTTTAATGGCTGTAAGACACACAGTTTTGGAAGATATCTCTAAATTTTAGCCTCAAGAATAATTTTTTGTCTGTTTCTTTTATATAAAAATTCTAGTTATTGTAAAAAATAAATTTCTGTTTTGAAACCTGATTATATATTTTCCAGTGGTGTAAGATAATGCATAAGAACCAAACACAATTGCCAACATCACCATATACCTAACAGAAGTAAAATATAAGCAAATTAGCAACAGAACTAAGCATCAATTACTGTAATAAGTAGTTGCTTTTTCACATTCTTTCATAAGAAATACTTGTAAGTTATGTTTATGAATTTATGGGATGAAATATAAGTAAATTAGCAACAGAACTAAGCATCAATTACTGTAATAAGTAGTTGCTTTTTCACATTCTTTCATAAGAAATACTTGCAAGTTATGTTTATGAATTTATGGGATGAAATTTCTATAGTGGAATGATTTGTGCTCACATATATGAAAGAGAGAATTCAGTCTTTCTTGTTTTAACTGTAAAAATTCATCAATTATGCATCAAAATTTATTAGGTGGTTAAATAATTTTAATTCTCAAACTTTAAACAATAAGTAACTTAGAAGAAAGAATAATATTAATTCTGTGTTCATGGAGGAGAATCTTTCTTTACTCGTTTGTACTTTCTCAGCTGGTGAAACAGTCCTGCCTGCTTTTATGGAATGAAAATTTTATTTCTTTGTTGTCCCCCCCCCCAAGTTGAATTCATCTACAAACCTCATGTCCAGTTTCTTATAAGATCCATTTTAATACTGACTTCTCATCTTTCCTTACATCATGTAAGTGATCTGGTCCCTTCCCATTTCGAAGTTTATTATTTATTTGAAGAATGTCAGATATGTTATGTTTTACCCTTAATTGATCTTGCTTTATGTACTGAACTTATGTTTACATCGTTTCTTCTAAGTTTATGGTGATGTCTTCCTGATAGGTTTATGGCGAGGTTGCTGATCTGCTGTACAAGTGAAATACTAGGTTTTGAAAGTTAGTAGTAGGTTAAATATTTCACATCATGATAACACAGATTGATTGACAGAGCACTTTCTCCAGGTTCCATGCTTCTGTAGGATTTTACTTTCTGAATATAACATGTGTATACTGTCACATGTAGGGTGCTATGCGTGTTGAAAATAATGGGTTCTAGTTCGGATGATTGTAAGTATTAGCACTTCGGTTACAAGTTCTCTTGATTACCATTAATTCAGTGATATCACTGATTTATGCACTTTCCAGCCCACTGTTGCACACACACACTGGGATTCTCAGTTTCCACTAGTCATCTCCTAGCAATGGATCTCGACATGGATATTGGCACTTCAAACAACTATGAAGTCTTCTTGCTATTTTGTCTTCAATCACTCTAGAACCTTGGAACTAAAAATTCTTCTGGACTCACTCTTCCAGCTTACAACTGATTCATAACTGCCATGAACTGAACTTGCTTCTGCATTCATTTCTCTTATAAGCACTCTGCACAGATCCAACGGAAAACACCATCTCTGTGTTAATGACATTGCTTTCATAGTTTGGTCTGATACATAGAAATGTGTTTACCGAGCTGTTGCCTAGAAAATGGGTTGCATAACCCAATTGTTCCACCACTGCTTAGTGTGGATGACACAGAAAACACAGCCTCATCTATCATTGCACGTTAGACTGTGTTTACAGAGCTGTTGCCTGGCAACGTGTTGATCAAATCTGTTATAATATTAATATATTGTGAACATGCTTAAATGTAAGGTAATAAAAACTCCATGGCTTTAGTCCGCAAGTGAACTATACCATCAAAGTGACCACTGCTTGTCGGCGAAGTTAGTGCCATCTTTAACGGATAGAGAGTGTCGTTGCATGGGCAATGCAATGAATCCCCAGAGCCATTAATTTCAATTATCTAGACTGGACCTAAGGTAATATAGCAACACAAATGTAACTTTCTCATTTCTTCCTGATGGTATTTCATGCATAGTGGAGGGGAATATTACAGATTGTGTTTCTGTATGTGTGTTGAGAGTGCATATTACTTCCTCTCTTGCTCAGCCGTACTTCCTCCCACAACAATTTACAAGCTGACATCAGAAAGAGCAGCACTGCAGAGGGGCTTCAAACATTCCAATTTGGTAAAATTTTATAAGATATTTTGCAGAGAACTCATTATAATGGACCCATATATAACAGATCTTGGATATGACATCAAGATCTGTCTACAGTTATGAATTTTTAGAGATGTTGAGGTACCAAGAAAGTTTGTGTAGTTATGAAACTATTAAAATACAAAAGAACCCCAATATAAAAACCGTTATGCAATCATATTATGTGTTTCTACCTATATCAGTGTTTCTCAACTGCTGGGCTGCGGCCCAGTACCGGGCCCTGCATCAATTATATCGGGACCTCGTTTTATAGAAAAAATTACTGGGCCATGGTCTCACAAACGTTGAGGACCACTGATTTATATTGCATGTATTGGCTATGTATGTATCCCTTCACTCAGTTATTGCATCCATCATTGATAACAGACCTTGTTCCCCCTTTAGTCTGAGGATTTATTGTATTATTAATTTTAGGTTTTCAAGGTGGTTCATTATTGATGTAGAGTTTGTTGTGCCTTTGCATTTTGTGGATGAAGGCCATTTTGCCTGTTTTTCAGAGGTAACATGTTGCCTTAGGGATGACCTTGAAGATGGAGGCAGTATGTACCTCCAGAACACTGTCAGCACTGCCCATATTCACATGGTACAAGAACAGGAATTTCATCAAGATACTATATGTTAGTTTATGTCTCTCATATTATTAGTGTTGTGCCAACTTGTATATTTGTATTGCACTGGTTCCAACCACTTCCTTTACATTTCCAAAACTGTAAGCTTTTGGCAAGAGTGAAACATTAAACAGACACACATTTTATGCAAAATGTTTACTTTTTCTTTAATTAGGGCCGGTGTACTGAATGCCTCCATTCCTTTGAATCTCTCTCTGTATCTGCTCCATGAGCAGGAATATGTTCCATGGGCAACGGCACTGGAGCACTTTCAGTTATGGAGCAAACTTCTCTCTGAGTCAGCGGCATACAAACATTTCTTGGAGTATATGAGGAGATTACTGGAACCTGTCTCCAGGCATGTAGGCTGGGAGGACACTGGAACACACCTCCAGAAGTATGTGGATATTTAACAAGAAGTAGAATATGTTTGTAAACACTTGATGATAATACTGTTTAATGCAAATACAAAATATATCCTATGAAGGAGAAAGAGATTTGGATGTAGTACTTGTAAATATTGTCAAAGTACTAGGAATTATAAACCTGGTTTCTAAACCATCATTATTTTCTAGGCCTACAAGATTATCAATTTATAAGACACTTTCTAGACTAGTGGTATGTTGTGTTAGCGAATAGTGGACAATAATAACTGATGAGAGAAGCACACCCTTTTGAACTCTAAAAGAAATTACAACAGAACTACAAGTTCCACAAATTGATTGATTGATCAGTAACTGTCAGACGACAGGTCCACAGTCTCTTCCAAAACAGTTCCTCCACTTAATGTGATCTTCTGTTTTTGGAAAGAGACTGTCCAGGAAAAGTGATAATGTGGTAGTTTTTCCNTAGAATACAAAATAAATTGAAAAGAACATTCTGAGAAGATGAGCTGTGATAGGATTTTTTTTTGGGGGGGGGGAAACCTTAAAATGTCAACCAGGAGGAAGAAGTGTGGAAGACCTCTGAAGTGGTAGAAGGATGTAGTTATGTAATACCCATAACATGTCTCAGTATACATGAAACTGGAATGGATGCTGATAATAATGAAAACAGACAGTACCATAAGTAGGGCTTTAAACAAAGCTTTGGAATTTTTTTCATTGTTATTTGAGTAATCTCTCTCATCAGCATAATATTCAAGATATTTACAGCAATGAAGATTTTCATCCTGGGTTATGACATCATTTAATCTGATATGAGAAGCATGCATAGGAGGCAGAATGTCCCCCCCCCCAAGTTTTGGTGCCCACCTGCAAGACTGTATGGTACAAGGGTCATACTGAAAGTCATGAGCAACAATTTTTTGTAAAGTAACATGCTTTCATATTGACAAACCAAATACACTACCTCAGTCTACAGACCTTTCTTTATTTTTCCACATAATCACCACTTCTTTGTACACATTTCTGCCAGCGTTCTGGGGGGTTAAAATTCCCCTTCTGTAAAATTCCATTTCAGGCATCTGAAGACACTGACGCTCTGCTTTCTGAGTTGCCTCCCTTGTCTCAAAACGTTGCTCACGCAGCTGATCCTTTACAAATCCGAAAAGATGGTAGTCGGACGGTGCCAGATCAGGGCTATAGGAGGGGTGTGGAAGAACTTCCCACCGAATCTTTGCAATTGCTTTCAATGTGGGGTGAGCGTTGTCATGCAGGATGATGATGTTTTGTCCCTGACATTTATTGCGCAATGCACGACGGAGCTTGTGCAGCGTCTGGACATAACAAGCAGCATTGATGGTTTGCCCAGGTTCCAGGAATTCAGCCAGAATAAACCCCTCTGCATCCCAGAAGACTGTGCCCATCACCTTCGCAGCTGATGGCACTGTTTTTGCCTTCTTTTTTGATGGAGAATGCAAATGGTGCCATTCCATACTCTGCCGTTTCGTTTCAAGCTCAAAATGGTGAAACCAGCATTCGTCACCTATCACAATACAGAGCAAAAAATCATCGCCTTCATGTTGATATCTCCACAGCAGTTCTGAGGTGATGGCTTTTCGCTGACCTTTCTGGTCTACGGTCAATAACCGTAGGACCCAACGAGCACAAACTTTCCTATAGCCCAAGCTTTCAATCATCTCCTGTACTGCACTGTGCCCTGTTCCAAGTTTTTGGGCTATTGTGTCCACAGTCACATGCCTGTCATCTTGAATGATCTCATCCACTCCTTCCTTGTTGCGTTCAGTTGAGGCTGTTCGAGGACAACTGCTTCGAGGCTCATTTTCGATGTCGGTGTTCGCATCTTTAAAATGTTTCACCCATCTTCGAACACTGCTTGCACCCATGCACACACTTCCATAAGCACGCTGAAGTCTCTGGTGAATTTCTGCAGCAGGGATTTCCTCTTTCACAAGAAATTCGATGACAGCACACTCGCGAAACAAAATATCGTCATCGGTCATTTTGTTAGGAGTGATACTGGTCACGTGATACAAGCTATTGACATCACAAGACACTCAAGGTTAACACAGCAGCTGGTTCAACCTACCACCATACTGTCTTTTGTCTGCTGTTCCCAGGTTGCATGCAAAAAAAGTTGCTCATGACTTTCGGTACAACCTACGTACATACCTAGAAAACTACATTATTATTATTTAGCATAGAAATTGAATAAAATTTTTAAATTTTGATTATATAATTTTTTTCATAATGATTAAGTTTATAATGTCTACATTTTCATTATTGTAGGTTTAAAACATCACATTTCTTAATTTAAGTTCTAATGTAAGGTACTGAATTTGGATCTGGACTGTGAGCCTCTCGTTAAAGTTTAGGGACATGAAACTTTGTTATGCACATTATGCTCTATTTTAATTTGTTCAAGGCTTATGAGGTCTGACATTTTGGCATCTGCAGTCCTGTGTGATGTCCAGATTATAGTGAAACAAGCTCAGAAGAAATTTAGAGATTGGATGGATAAGGGCACTCGAATTCCCCCAAATCTTCGAGAAGTAGTTTACATGGCAGGTGAGAAGTATAAATATTATCAACTGCAAGATTGGCTGTGGTGGTGGTATATTAATACTAATTGTGTTAATAATATACTAAAGTGATCAGACACCAGACTGTTACACAGAATTACTGGGTTTTTGTACTTTTTCCATCATCTGGAATTCTAGGTAATAGAGGACATGATGTTTCGGAAACTGGATCAGTTTCCGTCTTCAGGTGAGAAAGGAAGACGCCTATTCAGTTGGACCACTTAGAAAGAGCTAATCTCAATCACTGAACACTGAGTAGGTGTCTTCCTTTCTCACCTGAAGATGGAAACATCCATTTTCCAAAACATCATGTCCTCTTATCACCTAGAGTGTCCTCTGTTACCTAGAATTCCGGACGAAGGAAAAAGTCCAAAAACCCAGTAATTCTTTGTGTCATCCACCATCATCAGAACCCTTTAGAATCTACCAGACTGAGTTTAAGGCACTTCCAGCACAGATGGTTTCAACAGGATGGAGGAATTTAGAATCTGTCTGAATTATTAGCTAAAGATATGACATACATATGCTCTATTTTTTTTTTTATGATTTCACATGGGGGGGGGCAGAGTCCAGTTGGGTCCACTCAGCAAGGTGGCCACTGATTGGCCTATTATACCTGCCCTTGGTGATTATGATAATGGGGAATTTGGTGGAATAAAGATTGGCAGGGAAACCGAAGTACTCAGAGAAAACCTACCCCAGTGCCACTTTGTCCACCACAAATCCCACTTGACCAGACCCGGGTTTGAACCCGGGCAGCCATGGTGGGAAGCCAGCAACTAATCTACATATGTAAGATTTGAGGCTTTCACGGTGGTGACTATGAAGAAAGCAGTCTTCTGGGATTTGGCACCGCGTATATGTGGTATACACGGTGCCAAATCCCAGAAGACTGCTTTCTTCATAACCTACATATGCCCTAAATCAGGAACTTGTAACTGAGGTTGAGAGGCAGCTAAGATATAGTATCACTGGTCATATCTTTAGCTCTCCATTAACTTATATTTGTAACAGATCTCTTCCAACTGGTATCTTCCCCACTTGGTTGAAATATTCAGAAATAAAACCATTACTTAAGAATGGAGATAAAACTAATATGACTAAGTAAAGACCTATATCATTACTAACATCCTTTTCGAAAGCTGTTGAAAAGGTTATATATGCAACACTGCACCAACATATAATGAATAACTTATTAGCAGATGAAGAATATGGTTCAGGAGTAATTCAACTACAGAAATGGCCTTGTATCAATGAATTGATGAAATATTAAATGAGCTGAATAATAAAATATTAGTTGGTGCTATTTTCTGTGATTTGAAGAAAGCTTTTGACTGTGTCAATTGTGATATTTTACTATCTGAACTGGAATTTTATGGTAAGGCCAATGCACTGGTAAAATCCTATGTCAAAAATAGATACCAGAGAGTTGTAATTAACAACTGACATATTCATTCCAGATGGGGCAAACTTAATAATGGTGTTCCCCAGGGATCAATTCTATGTAAACAATGCAACTGGCTATAGAACTTCTTGAACAAGGATGCTCTGTATTAGAAAAAATGAACATATTATAGGGCTATGCTACAAGCTGGTAGGTTGCAGATTCAAGTCCCGATGAGGTCATTGGATTTTTTTCAGTTAACCTAACACTTCCAGCCGCACTATGGCCCTGGGGTTGACTCAGTCTCTAACAGAAATGAGTACCAGGAATTAATTAAATGATTTTCCTGGGGAGTAAAGCATGGCCAGCGCGTAAGGCTGACAACCTTACCACCATCTTTGAGCTGATTGTCTAGATAATGTGGGACCCTCAACGTCTCACAACCCGATGGGCCTTCACGGCCTGGTATAGGGATAGATTTACTTACTTATGATGTAATAAGACTGAAGAACGTGAAGAGTACTGTCTTCTGGGGTATGATGCCTTGTGGTCTTGTAGAGTTAACCAGACTTTCAGAGGAATGGACTGCCTTCATCCTCAAGGTCAAAGACATCCAAAGCCAGTTGAACCACTCAGCTTGCTGCTTGCTTCTTGTTTGTTCTTGTTTATCATGTCTTTGGCCCTGAAGTTGGGGCAGTACATTGCTCTGAAACATCGGCGAACTTCTGTTGGACTATGTGGCTTGATTTCCCATAAGATGTATGAGTAATCTCTGCTTTGAGAACCAGAACTCGTTGACAGATGTGGAATATGGACTTAACAACAGTCTGCAAGATAATTTGTAAATAAGAAAATTCACTCTGAAGAGAATGGTCTGATATCAGTTTGAAACCAGTCAGCACAGACAGATCTTAGGAAACAAACTAGTTACAATATTAAACAAGAACGGCAAAATACATATCCTTGGGGATGACATTAAAATAATATGTTTAGAAGTGAAAAGTCTGTCTGCTGTCCAGGTATATGCAATTCATTATAAATTGATTGGACAACAGCTGTAAGTCAGGGTGATACCAGGCAAGTGGACAAAACTTTGTGCTGATGTTAAAGAAATATTGTTTCAAAATCACTGAGTTTTATTTGATTATAATAAATAACATATTTTGTAGATCACTGTAATGTTTACTCAGAACACTTTCCAGTTGGGTGCTTAGCAAGATACACCCAAAAAATATACATATGTAGGCTCTTAAATAAAGTGAATGAATCTCAGACAATAGTAATACCATACCCACAAAATTGACCACTGTGTTACACAGTTGTACATATGCATGTTATAGGTATAAAATATGGCGATGTGAGGGACTGGCAATACTGCTGGTCCACGTATAACAGCACAGGAGTTCCGAGCGAAAGAAAATTGTTTCTTAAATCCTTAGGAGTGGCATCAGATCCATGGATTCTTCAAAGGTGAACATAATCAGTGATTTAATTGATTTTTGTGCATTGCAGTTTAATGCATAGTGTTTACCTCAGTTTGCTAAAGTAATACCAATTTACACAATGTTTTCATTTATGTAGAAATGTGCCAGTATCCTGATATGACAGGTGGTGGTCAGTAGGACCTACTATTTGTTTTTGGATAAAAATTATCTTTACTGTATTAGTAGTAATGAATAGGATGTTATTTAGCCTGCAGTTCACAGACATAATAAAATCTCAAAATTAAATCTGATATGCTGTAGCTCAAGCAGTTAGTCGCTGGCTTCCCACCGCGGCGGCTCGGGTTCGATCCCAGGTCTGATCAAGTGGGATTTGTGGTGGAAAAAGTGGCACTGGGGCAGGTTTTCTCCGAATACTTCGGTTTCCCCTGCCAATCTTCATTCCACCAATTGCTCCACAATCACCCTCACCTAAAATCTGGGGCTGGTACAATAGGCCAGAAGTGGCCACAGTAGAAGGGACTTGGTCCCACCCCACTAGGAATAAAAAAAAAAAAACTCAAATCAGTGTTCTTCTGGCTAAGCACTAAGTTTCCTGTAATCATAAGGGTGAGTGAGTAAAGTTGGTAAAAAGGTAACATGTAGGAAATAATGAGAAAAAGAGGATGAGAGAGATAATAGTTAAAAGAATAACTCGTGTTTTAAGAGTTACATTAATCAGTAAATATGGTAATGGATATATTCGAATTAAGTAAAATATGAATGAAATGGAGATGAATGGTATGAAATTGTTCCATTGCCACAACAGAAAGGAAGAAGGCAGGCTTACAAGGAAATGATGATTTTATTAGGTCAATACAAAAGTAATGTTCTAGTATTTAGAGGTGACAGTCCAGGAAAAGCTGCGCAGTGGAAGGGCAGGTCCATTTGTGAAAGTTGAGGGATGTTGTGATTAGTCATTCATCTGCATTCAGTGCGAGCGGAGGTCCCAAGAGCATTCTTCCTTGTACAGTCAAGTTAAAAATTTTTGACTCTTGGAGTCGTATTTGAGTGCATTATTCTCTAATTACTGTACTAACATTTTATTTTATTGTTTATTTTTGTTTATTTTTTTGTTTATTTATATTTGTACCCCCCCCTCATTGGTGTCTCCACCTTATCGTGGTGAGGGCGTTTGAGTATGCCAAGGACCCTGAGAGCTATACCAGCGGTAGCATAGATACTGGCAGGGCCTCCCTTGCTGGACAGTTCAAAGGGTAGGCATCAGACGAAGAGAGACACCAAAAACCAAAAACTGATGCCGGAAGCAGCGTCATCAGCAGCGACTTGAAGCACAGAGCTCGAGATGGTTCAAGGTCGTATAGCAACAGGCGTGACCAGAGTGGTTTGAATGGCTGTTGTACTGCGATGTGGAAAGCAAATGGAAAAACTACCACATTATCACTTTTCATCATTGTGGAATCCAGACATTCGATATAATATGATCCTACCACTCAAACCGAAATACCTTTCCTATAAAATAGATGGAATCTTTGCAGAACACAATCACAATATTTACGACTCCCTCCGTATCACCCAGAACTCAACCCAGTTGAGTTAATATGGGCCACCGTAAAAAATTGGGTTGCTCAAAACAATACCACATTTAAGATGGATGACATCATTAAACTGGCAGACCAAAAATTGACTTCCATAACTGCAGAACAATGGCAACGTAGGTGCCAACATGTAACGAATATTGAGCAACAATTAATGGCACGGGAAGGCCTTTTGGATGCAGGATGGGAGTTTGTCTTCCATGTTGGTGGTGATAGTGATAACAGTTCTGACGACAGCTCCGATTCTTCTGGTGATGACGAGGAAGGACAGGCATGTGGAGATGATATCTATGTGGACATTGCCGGTGTTTCCCCTTTAGAATAGACCCGTGTAATTTGTAAATAAACTCTTCATGTATATAACAGTGAAAAGTGTATAATAGTGTATAGTACATAATAGTCTGCCATTCGGCACTTAAAACTTAACGTCGGATGTGTGAACATCAGTGAGACTAAACCACCATCACTATGCACCACAATGAGTTAAGAAGTTATTTCCTTTTGAGAACGCATATACTGCATTCCCTGCCACTACCAATACTTCTCCTACCCCATGTCGGCAGACTGTCACCTCTGAGTACTAGCACTTTAATTCTATTCAGTTTTATGTTGGGAATCATGTCTCATGTAATCCGTGATAAGATTCTCGTGATGTCAGCTAAGACATGCTGTTAAAGGTATCTGCTGACTACCCTGGATCGAAACTTGGTCAAACCTCAAGATATAAAGGTTGTCCTAGCTGGAGTGGCTGTTAATCCAGAGGGCCAGTTGCTGGCTTGGAGACACCTGAAAGCTCACTGGCACTACCTGCAATCCATGTTTGGCAACTCGACATACACAATGGGCACTTTCATTTCAGCAGTGACATCTCACTTCACCACGGAATATGACTATCAGGAGGTATGAATTTTATTTTCCTGGTGCTTAATTTTAACTCTGTCACTCCTTAGTGCTGACTGCCTGTCTACTCTCCTTTTCTTATTCTTGCTGTGCCTGGCAGTATAGGCAAGGGACCCATAATATTTCAGTCTGTTCTCTTGTATTCCTGTAGGTAGCCCCTTCTGTTTCATGAAATATATACACAGCTTTTGTTATTTTAATTTTCTGTTAGTGTATAAAATAATGACATTGTGTCTGCATGAATATTTTGGTTTGATAACAACTGATCAGGTATTTAAAACCGACTTGTGAAAAGTACACAGTGCCACATTCTAATTATAGCTACTAATAACAGTAGTGTGAAAAGCAATAATGTCTAATCTTGTAGTTAGTGATGATGGTATATTAATACAATTATTGAGTTTTTGGACATCATCCAGTGGCCTTTTTTTTTTTATTTAAAACCCAACATTTTTGACACTGGATTCTGTCTGTGGTAAGTAAAAGCTTACTCAGTTGGGCCAATTCAACAGAGTTTCTTATCTCCAGAGAAAGGGACTGTTTCTGTCAGTTAGGTGCAACTGAGTAGTCTTTTATCTGAAGACAGTGATGGAATCCAGTCTCCAAAATATTAGCTTTAAATTAAAAATAGGACAATGGATGATGTCCAAAAACTCAATAATTGTAATGTCTAATATAAGGGGCGGTCAAATGAAAACGGGTCACCACGCATAACTCATGTGGCACGCAAGTTGGTAACACTGGAATTTGCTTATAGTACGAACATCTGGTGGGGACTCAAGGAAAGCACATGACGTGCCCTTACACACTAGTTGTTTGTTTATTGTGCTGGAAGTAAGGCTAGCGCTATGTGTGGTCATCCAACATCAGTAGTGAAGGCGGGTAAAGAAGAACAGCGAAGTGTAGTGCGCTTTTTGAATGCTGAAGGAGTCGGAGGATGAGAAATTCATCGTTGCATGTTTGTTGTTTACGGTGAACACAGCATGTCACGTTCACATGTGCTGGCGTGGCATAAGAGATTGCGAGAGGGATGTGTGTCACTGCAAGAGGATGTTCACCCAAGACAGGCTCATCATGTCATCACTCCTGATGTTATTGCTGTGTTGGATGGTCATATCTGGCCAAACCGACGGATCACTGTGGAAGAAATTAGTCTTTTGATGGGAATAAGTCACTGTTCCATACACACCATTGTGACAAAACACCTGCTGTACCGCAAAATCTGCGTGCAGTGGGTTCCACATCAACACGCAGAGGAACAGAAGACTCAGAGAATGGCTGCATCGCTGGGTCACTTGCAACGATACCATGAGGAAGAGTATGCTTTTCTGTCCTGTATTGCCACCATTTTGATCACGAGAGCAAACGGCAGAGCCAACAGTGGAAACACGTGAATTCTCCCCCATCGAAGAAATCCAGAGCCGTACACACAAGTTCCGTTAAAGTGATGATGACCTTCTTCGACTGCAAGGGCCCTCTGCTTGTCGAATTTCTTGAGCATGGGGCCACAATCAGTGCACAGCGCTATGAAGACACTTTGCAGAAACTGAGACGTGTCATAAAGTCAAAACGCCCTGGAATGCTAGCGAACGGCATTACCCTTCTTCATGATAATGCACGTCCCCACACTGCCAACTCTGTGAGGAATATGCTACAAAGATTTGGTTGGGAAGTGCTTCAGCATCCCCCCTACAGCCCAGATCTCTCCTCATGTGATTTTCACATTTTTGGAGACCTGAAGAGAGACATTCATGGACATCGGTTTGCATCAGATGAAGACATATGTGGCTGGGTAAAGATGTGGTTCCGTAGAAGCCCAGAAGCTTTTTCAAGGATTGGATTGACCGTGTTATCTCCCAGTGGAATAAATGTATTAACAGTTTTGGACATTACTTTTGAGGTAAGAAATGTTCTTTAATATGTTTTGGCTTCTGACCCATTTTCATTTGACTGCCCCTCATATTTCTGAATATACTATGAATAAACTATACCATGCCAGTGGCACATGATCATAATCAATATTCTGGAGGAAATAAAATAGTTGGGTTCTAAAATAAATTACATTCATGTTTTGAATGTACAGGTGTTGCAGTTCTTCCAACCTATGAATGTTGGGTCTGGAAACAGAGCACTGAAGCAGAGTTTGGAGACAATTCGATTAAACATCCACTGGGTTAAGGAAAATCAAGATGTTATCAACAACTGGCTCTATGATTATCTAGGAAGATAATACACTGGTGCCTGTGGAATGAGAAACTTTGTATATTTAAATATCTAAGTCAGAGAATGTCAGTCCAAGTGTTTTGAAGTCCGGAACACTTAGCCAAGTGCGACAACTTGACATGTCATTCAAACTGTTCAGAGTCTGGAAGAAACTGAATATTTTGTAAAATCCATGAGGAGAATGAATTCACAGTATTCAATTTAAGCTTACTAGAATAAAGGGACATTAACAAAATAGGGCTCAAAATATCAGACTGAAAGTATGAGGTCAGATGTGTGTCTTTTTCTGTTCATGTTTCATAATGAAGAAAAAAAGCATCAGTTCAGGAATGCATCTGTCATCAAACTGGATGTAGATATGTTTCTCAGTGTTAAGTTAGCATTTGTTGGTTCAAAAAAGATTTCAGACAAACATAAATTTGTTTAGATATTTTCTTCCATAAACTGCTTTGGTACTATGAACCATTTTTAAGGGAATAATGGAAGTCAGAACCTAAAATTAATTTTTCCAAATCCCTTCAAAACAAATAGGAATCCTCTTGAACTTCTGCCATATATAACTCTTTTTTTTTTCACTGTAATTTCTGAAGGCTCTCAAGTGAACAGAAAGGGACAGAAAATATACTTTAGTCTCTTGTGAAGAAATTCTGGGGCCTTACTCTGTTAACACCCTTTTTGTTTATCCTACTTTATTTTGTTTATGTACCTACTGTATAATTTTTGACAGCTGACTGGTTGAATTAAGTTTTAGTAATTGTTTTTATACTGTTTTAAGAATAGGAAACCAACATCATCATAATACATGACTTTCTGCAACTATCATTGCCATCCACATTTTGTTGTTGTATTAAGGTCACACTTTTTTTATTGCTAGCGGGGTGGGACTAAGTCCCTTGTACTGCGGCCACTTCTGGCCTATTGTAGCAGCCCCAGATGATAGGTGAGGGTGATTGTGGAGCAATTGGTGGAATGAAGATTGGCAGGGGAAACTGAAGTACTCAGAGAAAACCTGCCCCAGTGCCACTTTGTCCAACACAAATCCCACTTGACCAGACCTGAGATCGAATCCGGGCCGCCGCGGTGGGAAGCCAGCGACTAACCGCTTGAGCTATGGTGCGGCCCAAGGTCACACTTGCATACCTGGAGATTGAAATAGAAAGGATCTTTTAATGTAGTGCATTTTGGTGCAATGTTGTTGGAGGTGGTGAGTACGGTACATTTAACAACTAGTCACTGTACGGCTCTGTTCCAGCTGCCATCTGTAGTAAATAAGAAAGAATGAAGAATGTCAGTATGGTTGGCCCTGACATTCAGTACATGTACAGACTAAAATGGCCTTTTCCTGATGTGCTGTTCTGTCATTTGTAAATTAATTACAGTTGTGTAAAATTCATGCAGAAGTGAAGCAGATGTACCAGAGCAGGTTTTGTCACCTTTCTTTTCCAGCATCATTGGGTCCCAGTATAGCTCAATCAGTACAGTGAACAGGCTATGGGCTAGGTGACTGGGATTTGACAATTCATTTTACCACCTCATCCCAACTGGCTCTGGGTCCTCCCCAGCCTACTAATGGGTACTGGGGTCTCCTTTCGTGGGAGTGAATGAAGAAGCAGGGGCATGAAGCTGGCCACTTCACTCTGTGAAGTACCAAGATTGAGAATGTGTAGATATATACATCCATTCTCAATATATCATCATGACACGGTGCTTAAGCACAGGGATCTATTGTCATGGCATAATTAATGAAGCACATGACCAACTTTTTTCCAACATCAGTACTGTAGAGAACACATACATGTATCTCTCAGAGCTGCATATTTTTTTCATTATGGACAGTGTTCGTATATATAATGCTCAACATAACGTGACCTACTGTGACTGGTAATGCTCTGCCTGAATTGGGGCACATTTATAGAGAAAATATACTCAAGGAGCTGAAGTAATCAGTGTTCAAGATTGTACCATGAAAGGAAGTGAGAATGGCTTATTTTGAGATACTTTTCCTTGCAGTTGCCCAGACAGACAGGAAAATCCTTCAAGTGGGGATTTTAACCTGGGGCCTCCCATATAGAAAGCAGAAGTATCTTAAATGTATTTAATGATTTACTGTATACATCCCATTCAGTAGGGATTACTGCCATTCTTATTCATGGATGCTGCATCTCTAATGATTAAGCTTAAAAATGACTGATTCTGTAGTGAATTAAAATATGCTGGACTACTAATTGACTGAACTGAATTAACCTATAGTTGACCTTTCAATGAACATATTTTTTTTCCATTCATGAATTTAAATGTGTATAGCCCTACAGATTGTGCATATTTATGGGAAAGAGATTACTGTAGTAGTCATATGCCTGTATTTAATATTATTGCAGGTTGGATTTAAACAAGAAATAGATACTTCTTGAATTTCCTCCAGAATTGTAATTTGGCCAACAGAACTGGTGTCACAGTCACTTGACAATGCCATGCTTGAGTTATCTCTGTGTACATGTAAACACAAATACCCTCACTCATAATGCTGTTTCATTGTCAATGCCTGTGATATAAGAAATGCGCAAACATGAATCAGATTACTCTAAGCACTTAACCTCAACTCAGGTGAATAAGTTGTTGCTTGGCATGAAGTAAATTCATTCTGTTCTTGTCACCTTAATCTATAATTCTTCCTTGTGTTAATGGCCCTTTTAGTTTAGCCTTAGTGTCCCTTAGAATTACTGTCTATCGATATTTCCAGTATATTTCTTTGGGTTTCAGAACATTTCACTTTTTATGGGGCAGGGTTATTAGTCCTGCACTTAACCTCCACTACATGGAAGGCTCTGATTTTCTGTCAGGGTTTACTCCCCCAAGCAAACGATCCCACCCCTCACGTCACCTGCATCTGCTACACTCTGTGCTGTCACTACAAAGTGCACCCAAGGCCACAAGTTAGGTGGCTGAGAGTTTTAATTACAAATGTTAATTACCATTAAGCCTGCAGAAATGTTCTGTGAGGAATAATAAATAATACTCCAGTATATATTTCATCATAATTGAAAACATTCAATACATGACATTGTTTCATACATATTATCTCCTTTAATCAATATGTAATTTCTGCAATGTGAACATGAATTTCTTATAAGAATGTATAGATATTTTATTGTTGTTTACAGAGTTATTTATTATTTTGTTACAGTTTTATTTTATTTTAATGCATTTTGTGAATATTACTTTCCACAATTCAGTGACTAGGAAGTGAAGATTACCAAAGGAGCTGAGCTGAAAGCAGTCATCAGTCTTACTGTCCAAAAGGCAACACACAGACTTCACTATTTGATACTTGAAGCAGAAATAAGACTCTGATACTACTTTTATATATATAAAAAAAGAACTCTATTAAAAAATCTTCATAATATTGAAGCACAAATTTTTATATATACCTATATATGCTCTAGAAATATGTTTCTAATGTTAATGCTAGAACTTGTTTAATATGTTAACCATTATGTTGTATTACACATAGCATATTGTGCAATAAAATTGCTTACAGAGATTAAAATGTTAACGAATAACAGTGAGTTGTGAGAAACTGGGAAACTAGAATCACTGGATTTTGAGAGAATGGTGGTTTTTGTATGACATCAAAACTTAGGTTTGTTATACCTCATTGGAAACTGCATTTTTTCTTTATCAGTTCTGCTAATGTTAAAACAAAGAATAAATGGACTTCCAATTAGATTTATGTTTCATAACATTTTGGGGATTAGAGCCAAATTGGTCCTCAGATTTATTCCAGTTGAAGTGTCTCTAAGTCATGATTGAGAAATATTCATCTACAGGTTGAGTGAGATTGTATTCTGTCGTGCAACTCTTACAAAACTAAAAAAAGTTCATGAAACCATATTATCGGTGGAAATTCAGTGTTTGCAAACAAAAGAGTGTTCTTCCATAAATCTTATATTTGTCACTGCATTCATTTGTGATTTAGCATCAGCATATTGAGCATTACATTAATTTACTCTTGAAGTAGCTCTATGTTTTGGTACAGCTGTAAGAAGGAAAGTAAACTAGCAACACACATCACCAGTAACATTTTTGTCTGAAAAATGAAGAATGTATAGAATACAATGAGCATGACAGAAAGGAAGTAATATTCATTGTATTTAAGTTTGACAAGGAAAATGAGACTGGGAGTATATTCAGTGTGCAGTAGTCGTATACATTTTTGTATTTGATTGTCAGGTAATAAATTATATCCCATTGCCACAGGCTCTTTTTTTATTGTTGTTTTTTATTCCCTCAAATCCTCCAGTGACAAATAGTGATTCAACGATAAACCTCAGTTATGTGCAGTGTAGATATACACATGCGATCTGTGTTCAACTGCACGGTCAAACTGAATTTGACACGTTGCACTGAGTGACTGTCACAACAACTACACTGTTAAAAATGACCATGCACAAATATGGCAAAAAACAACCTGTACTACTGGATTCTGCAGCCACTTAAGTGCCAGGGTTGTCCGTACTTAATATAGGCAGCTATTAATAAAATAATGTTAAAAATCGCCTTTGTTTTGTAGCACAAGTTCCCAAAGAGTGGATAAAAATTGTGTCCGTAAGTAACTGTTAAATGGAAGCTGGTTAAATCACATACTGTAGAAACACAGTTGGTTGAGGGGCTATGCTACAAACTGGAAGGTCGCGGGTTCAAGTCCAGATGAGGTCACTGAATTTTTTTAAATTGACCTAATCCTTCCAGCCGCACTATGGCCCTGGGGTCGACTCAGCCTCTAACAGAAATAAGTACTAGGAATTAATTAAATAATTTTCCTGGGGAGTAAAGCACGGCCAGCGCGTAAGACTGACAACCTTACCGCCATCTTTGAGCTGATTGTCTAGATAATGTGGGACCCTCAACGTCTCTCAACCCTATGGGCCTTCACGGCCTGGTACAGGGATAGCTTTACTTTTTTACTTTACTTTTACTGTAGAAACAGCTCACATGCATCATCTGATGCATATTTTCCTACAATATCAAATATTTTAAACATGCAAGTTATGATTAACATCAACATAGCTGGTTTTAATAAACAAGCACACAAATTGCATTATTACTGTGTAAAACTGGGTCCATATAAGATAATATATTATGTGTAAATTCTCATAATTTCATCCTTCAGACTGCATACATCATTGTACAGAATTACCAACTGTTAATTACAGATACTCTGAAAGGCATTAAGTCATACACCCCAATGTGTCACTACCAATCCCTTAATGATTCTGTAAAGGACTGTAACTGTGGTTAATTCTTTACACTACAGTTACATTGGATATTGTCCATTGTCTAAGATTATTTTCTATACTAGTACCTGACATCCTGCAAATCTGGATCCACCCATATCTTGTTATAACACTGACAGCTGTTATATATATTTGTGTTACTGGTAGCAGTCAAGACGGAACCAAGATGGTCTGGTTGGCATATAAGNACATGCATCATCTGATGCATATTTTCCTACAATATCAAATATTTTAAACATGCAAGTTATGATTAACATCAACATAGCTGGTTTTAATAAACAAGCGCACAAATTGCATTATTACTGTGTAAAACTGGGTCCATATAAGATAATATATTATGTGTAAATTCTCATAATTTCATCCTTCAGACTGCATACATCATTGTACAGAATTACCAACTGTTAATTACAGATACTCTGAAAGGCATTAAGTCATACACCCCAATGTGTCACTACCAATCCCTTAATGATTCTGTAAAGGACTGTAACTGTGGTTAATTCTTTACACTACAGTTACATTGGATATTGTCCATTGTCTAAGATTATTTTCTATACCACTACCTGACATCCTGCAAATCTGGATCCACCCATATCTTGTTATAACACTG